AAAGGGGTATGGGGGTGCTCTCCAATTAAACTGGATGGAGGCAGTGACCTGGGGCGGTTCGACCCTTCGGCCGAGCAAGCGGAGCGTGCCGGGACGGCGGAGGCGACTCGTGAAACCGAACGGAAAGGGGAAGCAATTCGTTTGAAGGCATAAAACGGTCCGGTTCATTCGCAACCGGGTCAGGGCCGCGCGGCGCCGCCGCCGCCGCTGCTTGTTTGACAAAATAAATAAAAGATAAAATGCGGCGGACTGCGCGAAAGTCACGTCTGGAATGTGAAATCAGCGGGCGTGATTTGATTACGGGAGAGAGGGGAGAGTCACAGGGGAGACGGATCGGTAGGGAGAGCCAGACTGTCAACAACCTTTGATGCGCTAGCCCGACCGGGGCGAAATGTTTGCCATAAACACCGCCAAGTCGAACGTCAATATTGAGACTCGTTACTGCATTACGCATAATGAGTTTCTCCATCTCTGTTCGACTCCCCCGCCCCTCCTTTCCCCCGGGACAGCGTCCGGCCCCAGCCCAGGGGAGGCTCATAGCTCGGCTGCACCTGCCTCGAGAGCAGAACGGAATCGACATCTCGCAGCGATAACTTATTTAACGCACAATCCTTCGATGGCGGCAAGGAGGCGAGCGGCGGAGCTTCTCGAACCTGCTGCTGCTGCTGCAGAGGTTCATCGCTCTTGTCAAGGACCTAATTAAAATGGCCACGTGCGCGACGTGACGGGATGGAATAATTAACGAAATTGACATTTAATCACGTTTTTGGGGCGGCGGCGGCAGAAGAGAGGACCGGCACAGCCGCGCAACTCCAGTCAAACGGGCCGCCGAGCCACCACGCGCCAAGTTTACCCGGCGATGCTCAAGTTACACGTTCTGCGTGCGAATTTCTGACTTGTCGGAGGGAGGGTTTGTGTATGTTTGCGTTTCGACGGTCTGTGACTGTGTGTGTGTGTGTGTGTGCGTGTGTGCGCGCGCGCGCGCGCGCGTGTGTTTGGGAGGAGCGTCGGCGTCGGGGGGGAGAGGAGGGTGCGGGTGCGTGCAGCAGGCTTCACGTTGAACGCACACCACCGTTGCTGCGGACACCCCAGTCAGCGGTATAAACGCAGACGAGGTACATGTTCCTCGCGCGCGCGCGAGAGAGATGCCAAGTTGCTCGCAGAAGTTTGGGCGTCCTCTGCGAGCGTCTGCCGTGTGCGCGGACGTGCGTTACCACCGTCATCGTGTTCCAGTCGTCGAGGGTCAGAAGCACGCACCGGTGTTGCTACTGTAGTGACTCTAGTGAAGGCCCGGGGGTCCGGCCCCGGCCCGCCCGCACCCGACAGACTGCTGGCGAACTTCCGGTTTATCGCCTCTACCCGTCCTTCGCACTTCCTCAGCTTCCCCCGAGCAATAGACGGTTCCTTCCGTCATTTACTTCTGCTGGAACGCTCACCTCGCCTCTCTCCGAGCCTCTCTCCCCTGCTCCGGCGCGCGGAAGTGTGGCTCGCGCTGAGAGCACTTCCGGTCGGCCCCGGCCTGGGCACGAGCGCCCCAGCTGCCGCTTCCGGTGGGCCGGACTCGTTCATTAGCGGAGTGGCGCGGCGCGGCTTTTTAATGACTTGGCGACAAACAGCGGGGCGAAGGGCTTAACTAACTAACGAGGCCGTGGGAGCGACACCAGCGCCAACACTCACTCCTCTCGCAATTACCAAACTCGACATTTTATTAATTAAATTTCACATCGGCCAGCTGCGCGTGCCTCCACAACTAGCGAGCGAGAACATTGACACCAGATCGTAGGCAGCTGTCACTGTCGCAAGCTTTCAGGGGCCCACGCACCGGCCCTGTGTGAGAGCTCTGTCGCAAAATCGTAGACACATCATAGACTGACCGAGTCCGACCGGAGAGAAGCTCCCTCGCTCTCGCCGTCTGCGCCCCTTCCATCTCATCCTGCAGGTCGGTGTTGTGTTGACTGTGCCCCGGTGCGGCTCGACATATTGTAATATGTGGTTTTAAAGAGCTCACATGCCATATCGCTTGTCCCTAATTGCAAAGAACGCACGGCGCGGCGCTCCGGCGCTGGCGAAACCACGCAAAGTTCTTAGGCGCTGGCGAAACCACGATTTCGAAAATTTTGAGATAACTTTACATTCTGGAATAGGGAAACGGTCTCTTCTCAAAAATCATCCCAAAATTCGAGTTGCGAGGTTTCGCCAGTTCCCGCGGTTTTGCCAGCGCCGGAGCGCCTTTGCGTGTTGCAATAGGGACAAGCGATATACCGTACTCTTCCTCCAGGTACAACCCCGGTGAGAATTTTTTTCGACGACATCGTTTTGACATCGTTTTTCACGTTGTTACAATATGAAAGGGGGCCTGAAATCGACGGCTGTTCGACAGGAGATGTCGTTGTCGTTTCGACATGGCCTAAACAGCGACGAGGCGCGTTTTCGGGTTTTCCATGTTTCGCAGTTGGCGATCACCGTCACTTCTCCCCCTCCCCCTTGCATTGGCCGCGGGCGCGTCGGGGTTGCCCCAGCCAGAGAGGCACGGGGCTCGGCCCAGTCCCAGTAGGTCCGAGTAGGCCTGAGCCGCTCAGGCTTAAGCTCAGTAGTGCCTTCGCAGTCGTAGTTGGCAGTGTGCAGTGTGCCGTGCGACCGTGGTCCTAGTCTGTTCCAGGTCACGCAGCTCATCAATCCACCGCAACGGTAAGCCAGTCCACATCGACAGTGCATACAGGTAGAAGCTGTGTTCCGTGTGTTTATGAAGTGCAGGTTCTAACGTCTGGTCGCGCCCCATTTCTATGTACCACGCAGGTTACGTCCTCTATCGTGGCCACGATGGCAGCAACGTCTTTTGTGACCCTGGAGCAGCTGCCGGACGACGTGGTTGCGATGGCAGCAACGTCTTTGGTGACCCTGGAGGAGCTGCCGGATGACGTGCTCGTGATGGCGCTGAAGTACGTGGACGTGGAGGACATCCTCGCCTGCCGCCTCGTGAGCAAGAGGTTCTGCGGCCTGGCCCTGCACCGGGACGTCTGGCGCCACCGAAAACTCGCCGACTGCAACCCCCGCGCGGGCGCGGTGCTTCGCCTGGCCCCGTGCCTCTACATGCTGAAAGTCACGGGCCGGATCCCGACCCTGGCTGCGACCACCACCGGGTGCGCCGTAGCAAAGTTGATGCTGATGCCTTCGGAACTTTCGGTTGCCGCTAACGCAGCGGAGTACTCCTTGGTCGTGCGCAACCAGGAGTCCCTCGGGCGTCTGAGAGAACTTGTGCTGTATCCCTCTGAGATGAATGAAGCCGACGTCCTGTACAGGACTGTTGCGTCGTGTTCCGGCCTGGCGTCGCTGTCGCTCTCGGCCTATTTTATGCAACCGCAGATCACCCAACCAATCGTAAGTGGGCCGCCTCGCTCGTCCCTCACTTATTTCACCTGCTCGGTCGATGAAAACTCGGCATCTTTTGTGAACACCATACTGGCCGGGCACTCTGCTACCCTGGAGGCGGTTGAGATTCCGCAGTCCGACTTGCAGGAGAGCACGACGGCAGAACTGTTAGCCGCCATGCCGCGACTCCGCAAACTGCTGTGCGACAGTGTGTTGTGCGGCTTAGAGGCGGTGGCGGAGTGCAAAGCGCTCAGAGACGTGCACATTTTTGTAGACATGTCCCTGGGTGACTACGACAGGGCTATACAGTTCCTCCGCCGTGCCGACCAACTACGGCGTGTCTACCTGGAGACGGAGACGGAGACGGAGACCGACAAGTGGAGCACGGTCGAGAGCACGGTGCTGACCGATGCCATCGAGGCCTTGGCATCGTCCGGGCGGTCCCGCGTGGAGCAGCTATTCCTGGAGGCACGCGGGGTCATACTGCCACTGCTACGCTCGCTGCCCTCGCTGCCTGCCCTGCGTTTCCTGAACTTGGCTCTTGATTTCGACGTCGAGCTCCTCAAGAGCATCACCCCCGTCACAGCCCCGGCGCTGCGGCTGCTGGAGATTGTGGCCGAGAGAGGTAAATGCCCCCACGCCTGGATACACGGGGCTGCAGTCAAGGCCACGCTGACGGGGAACCCCCTGCTGCACATCCAGCTATGGAGCAGAACTGGGCGCGGGTCCAATCCCCAAGACTGCGAGACGTGTGCGGCGGCCTGCCATCAAGGGGTAAACTGGCACGGTGTGTGGAAGATAGGCCTCTACTCGCATGACCCTGGCACTTGCCCTTCGCCAGAGGCTCATGCTGATGTCACCGACTGGGAGTTGTGCTACAAGAAGCGCAGCACTAAAAATGCCGCTTGTACGTGGATCCGTGTGTGATGTTTTGATGTATTTCTACTTGGTCGTGGATGTATCCCTTTTATTGGTTCTCTGCCAGGCCTGTTGAAAAAAGTTGAATGTCTTTAGTTTCGCAACATGCGTAAGGTTTCTGTAAATTAATGATTCATGAGTAATAAATCATATGGGTTCTGATGCAATGGAAGCTCCCTCGTGCCCTTCCCCCTCACGCTGCCCGCGCCGCCGCTCACAGCACCACTTTTACAGCTGCGCGTGCCTCTAACACGAGTGAGTGAGAACATTGACACTTAGAGGGATCCATAGGTAACATTTCACTCTCGTCGCAAGTTTAGAGGGGGCCCATGCACCGGCAATATAAGAGCTCTGCAAGATTGCGAACACACCATCCCTACACTGTGAAAAATACCGTCGTAAATTTACAAAAAAAATGTAAACTCGAATTATAATTTCAGTTGTAAATTTACGAGAGCTGATTTTTCACTCGCCAATGGCTTTTAAGTTGATACGTAACTGCGTGTATTTTTACGATTTCATATTGTAATTTTACAACTTGCGTCAAGGAAAATTTTCCTGTAAATCTACCTACTATTATTCACAGTGTATATTCGACCGACCGAGCCAATCGAACCAACCCAACGGTTTTTCCTGATAGGCTTACCGTAGGTCGCGTCGCCCCACGGGATTGTCTCTGCTGGCTTTTCCGCCTTCCGGCAGGGCGGCGGTTGGGGTGGGGATGGGATGTCCAGAGAAGAGAGGCAGAGGGCTCGGCCGTATGCCGCTGCCCAGGGCACCCAGGGTTGCCAGACCGCACTCGGGCGCATTTCTCGCTCGGCTCGGGCGACTTGACTCGCTCAGCTCCTGGCCCTGGCAACCCTGCCGCAGCGGCAGTGCCGCTAGCGCTGCCGCTGCCGCACGCAGGCTCAGATTCAGTCTGTAGAACGCTCACAGCACAGGCGGTCGCAGTGTTCCGTCCCCCCGCTGCAGTCCTAGTCTGCTCCAGGTCACCCACGAGGCAGCTGATCAACCCATCTTACCACCAAGGTAAGTCACTCGACAGGGGCACACAGAAGCGGTTTTTCGTGCGTCTTATTGTTTTGCTCTAACGTCTGGTCCCGCCCTGTTTCTACCACGCAGTTTACGTTCTCTCGTGGATAGCGAGCAACGTGTTGAGTGACCATGGAGCAGCTGCCGGATGACGTGCTCGTGATGACGCTAAAGTACGTGGCTGTGAATGATGTCTTCACCTGCCGCCTGGTATGCAAGAGGCTCTGTAGCCTGGCTCTACACCGGGACGTCTGGCGCCACCGTGCGATCCAGGATGACGACCGCTGCGCGGGCGCGGTGCTGCGCCTGGCCCCGTGCCTCGACACGCTGAGAGTCACAGGAGACCGCTCCCGCCTGGCGGCGGCCACGACCAGGTGCGCCGTGGCAAGATTGGAACTGACGTGGAGCCATCCTCATTCCTTTAGAGACGCGGAGCGCGCCGAGTACGCCTTGATCGTGCGTAACCAGGAGTCTCTCGGGCGCCTGAGGATACTTGTGCTTAGGATACTGGACTTTGGGGAACAGTTCGGCCCATTTAAACAGACATCCGACATTCTTTATAGAACCGTTGCGTCGTGTTCTGGACTGAAGTCGCTCGTTGTCGTTTTCAGACCGACCAAGACCACCCATCCCATTGTGTATGGGCTGCCCAGCTCGTCGCTCACTTATTTCAGCTGCGCGGTCGACGATCACTCAGCATCCTTTGTTAACACCATACTGGCCGGGCACGCTGCTACCTTGGAGGGCGTTCGGATCGACACAGATTCCGACTTGAGACAGACCACGACGGCAAACCTGTTGGCCGCCATGCCCAGACTCCGTAGTCTGCAATGCGACGGTTTGTTTTGTGGGTTAGAGGTGGTGGCGGAGTGCAAAACGCTCAGAGAGGTGGACATTTATCTGCAAAGGAGGACCCCAACAGGTGATGGCAACGTGGTTGCAAAGTTTCTTCGCCGAGCCAGCCAACTGCGACGTGTTCGCCTGGATAACATTATGAAAACTGTCGCCGAGCAGTGGCCGGTGTTGGTCGAGGCCTTTGAGGCCTTGGCATCGTCCGGGAGGTCCCAACTGGAAAGGCTGGCGCTTTCGGGGTTCCAAGAGTTGCGGCCGCTGATCCGTGCGTTGCCCTCGCTGCCCACCCTCCGCCACCTGGGCGTGGGTCGTGATCCCGACGACGTGCTGCTGAAGAGCATCACCCCCTTCACGGCCCCGGCCCTGAAGCTGTTAGAAATTACGGTTGCGTGGGATAAGTGCCCCCACGACTGGATACACAGGGACGCGGTCAAGGCCGCGCTGACGGCGAACCCCCTGCTGCACATCAAGCTATCGTGCAACGCTGTTCACCGGTCCGTCCCCCCAAAATGCGAGACGTGTGAGGAGGCCTGCCATGCAGGAGTAAACTGGCACGATGTGAAAAAGATAGGCGTCTACACGCATGACCCTGGCACTTGCCCCTCACCAGAGGCTCACACTGATGCCCCCGACTGGGTAAGGACCTACGAGCGCCCCATTGTTCTCGCTTGTACGTGGATCCATATGTGATGCAGTTGCGCTTGATTGTGGATGTTGCCTATTTTTCGTTTTCTTCTGTCAGACCAATCAGAAAGGGCAATCTCTTTCGCTTTGCATTATACGTAAGGTTTCTTAAACGATAATTAAATTATCAGTAAGTGATAAATCATGGGTTCCGATGCAATGTAAGTTTACTCGTGCCCTTCCCCGACACGCCGCTCGCGCCCGCCGCCAACAGCACCACAGCCGCTTCGGAATTCTACCGACCGAGGTGAGGACTTCCCTGAACATATAGTAAAACAAAACCACTCAAGTATTTGGGAGCCTCCAGCGCCAAACGACATCTCTGGCGGCAAACACTGGAATATAAAGAGTTCATACTTTGAACACATTACTGTGATCAATTCGGTAGTAGCACGAATTCAAGTGTTCAACTCATAAAAGGGGACAGACACACACACACACTTTAAACTCAAACCATGGCAGTTTTACACCCGGGTGTAAAGATAAATTTCGGACTAAATAGTGCCTGTGAAAAACCAATAAACAACTCACTTGGAATTAGAGCCCTCTAGCAATGCCATTTGTGTTGGTACTACACCCTTAAAACCCTTTAAAGGTGCGAGAAGGGAGGAACGAGCAGCGGAGAGAGGCTTCGCCACTCGCCCTTTGTTCCCGGAAGTACGCTAACGCAGTGAGGGAGGTCGTGCGCCGTGCCGCGCCGCGCGCCCTCCCTGCGGGCCAACCTCTCCGGGCGCGGGGTAACGCGGGGGTAACTTTACAGCAGCACGTGCGGAGAACGCGAAAGGCTACAAGGTATTCGCCCCGCCCGCCTTACACTGCGCAGCAGGCCGCCACCACGCACCACGGGGCTGTTTCGAAATCACGTGCACTTTAGGGGAGGGGGTCTAAATGTTATGGCGTCACTTAGGTCCACAGAGCCCCCATGGTACAAGTATTGTGGGACTCCGTGGTCTCCAATGACTGTCCTCATCCATTTGAGACACGAAATATTTGGACCCCATGGCTCCCCCTAAAGTCCACGTGTTTTCTGAACAGTCGCCGTTGTGTTGTTTCCCACAGTGCGCGCGCGCGCGCTGCACTTTTTTTTCGCTGCCCGACGCCAATTTATCTGGCGTAACGTCCACCATGATTAAGTTTACTCCCCGACAATGTCTCCCCCCCTCCGGCGGCGGCGTGCCCGTGGTGGTGCTGGCGCTTGCAATGGCGGCTGTTTATTCGCCTCATGAAATTGCCCCGCCCCGCCCCGGCCCCGGGTCCAGACAGACGCACGGACAGACAGAATGGAACGCAGCAAACTCCTCTTGCTCGCCGCATCCCTTCACGTCATAAAGCCACTGCGAGGCTCCCCCCCCCCCCCAAACCTCCCCCCTCGCCACGGGTGTAAACACGACGCAGCGAAAGAAAAGAATGGAAGCCAACTATGGCGAAATTACTTTACATTTTATAGCCCCTCCCACTCCGTGCGTGGGCCCGGCCTGTCTTCGCGGGATGAGAGCATCCTTCCTTCCCTCCCTGTTGTAAAGACGTTTCATGTCCACCGTCCTCCCCCTCCACCCGTTCCCCCCGTCCATACCGAACGTATAAAGTATATATATATATACAACATTGTGCCGAGTAGCGGAGTGTGGCGCTGCAGAGCGCAATATACTCGCAAAGTGATACAATAACGGACAAGGTAATCGTGCGCACATTTCGCTCGCTCTCTCTCTCTCTCTCTCTCTCTCTCTCTCTCTCTCT